GAACAATTTTACGAAGACCTAAACAAAACTCTACTGCAGACAAAGAAGCATGAAACCAACATAATATTAGGAGATTTTAACGCCAAGATTGGAAAAGGAAAAGAAGATGTTCTCTAAAGAAAATCAGTACAGTATAATGAACAGCTTTTTCAAGTTACCACCCAGACGTCTCTACACGTAGAAATCTCCAGCAGATGGAATAGAAGGACGCATCACAAGAAATCAAATCGATTACATAATGATCAACAAAAGATACAAAAACGCAGTAAAAGCATGCAAGACATACCCCGGAGCTGACATCCCCACCGACCACAATCTTCTTCTTGCAACAATTAGGATAAAATTTAAAAGAACAAAAAGAAATAAGCAAATAATAGCTATTAACCCAGATAAGCTTAAAGAAGAATCCACTGGTAATAAAATAAGGGAAGAAATACATAGACACTTGAGTAACAGAACAGTACAATCTACACAAACTCCCGAGGAAGACTGGCACTATATTGAGAAAACACTTACAAGAGTAACAGAAGACCACCTCAAACAAGATACACGAAAAAATAACAAACCATGGATGACAGAAGAAATTCTAAACATGATGGACGAAAGAAGAAAATATAGAGGTAAAAATGAAACAACATACAAGTAAATACACAAGAATATCAGAATAAAGATCCAACAAGCCAAAGAAACCTGGCTAAGTGAAAGATGCCAAGAAATTGAAGAGTTGGAACAAAGACATGATACTTTCAATCTACATAAAAAAAGTAAAAGAAGCCGCTGGAATATTTAAACAAACTCCTACGTCTTTCATCGAAGATAAACATGGGAACCCGCTACTGAACATAGAAGATCAAATAGGTAGATGGAGAGAATACGTGGAAGAGATGTTTCAAGACCGAGAGAGGACGAAGCGGCAAATCAGATAAAGAACGGAAAAGCTGTTGGGGAAGATAATACAATTGAAATAATAAAGATATTACTAGACAAACACATCGAAGTAATGGAAGATATATTTAACAAAATATACGAAACAGGCATAATACCAAATGATTGGCTGACATCGGTGTTTATACCACTACCAAAGAAGAAAAACTCCAAGAAATGTGAAGACCATAGGATTATTAGCCTGATGAATCATATATTGAAACTTTTCCTACGAGTAATACACAATAGAGTATACAATAAACTAGACGAACACACTGGTCAAACTCAGTTTGGTTTTAAGAATGGGTTCGGAACAAGAGAAGCACTTTTTTCAATACGTGTGCTAGTTGAAAGATGTAGAGATGTCGATTCTGATGTATACTTGTGTTTTATAGACTTTCAGGAGGCGTTTGACCTGGTGAAACATTATAAACTAATAGATATTTTAAGGTCATGTAATATTGATAAGGACTTAAGGATCATTTCAAACCTCTACCAAGAACAAAAGGCTAAAATCAGAATAAAACGCGAAACATCTGGAAAAATCAATATCGAGAAGGGAGTAAGACAGGGATGTGTCCTATCACCTTTGCTGTTCAATGTTTACTCTGAGAAGATATTTCAGAAAGCTTTGGAAGGCACCTCGGATGGTATAATTATAAACGGGCAATGTATAAATAACCTGCGATATGCTGATGACACTGTCATACTGGCAAATAATGCTGAAGCCCTGCAACGCTTAATGGACCGAGTAACGACAGCCTGTAGAGAATTTGGAATGAAATTGAATACAAAGAAGACAAAAACGACGGTCATCAGCAAACACCAAAACAGAAGGGTGAAGGTCAATGTCGACGGAACAGATCTGGATAGAGTAACAAGAACAACGTACCTTGGAAGTAATCTTGATGAAACTTGGGACCACTCACCAGAGATAAGAATACGCCTGGAAAAGGCACGTACAATGTTTTACAAAATGCAAAAAGTTCTATGCAACCGCCAGCTGGGCATCTCATTGAGAACTAGAATACTTAAGTGCTATGTTTTCTCCACCTTGCTCTATGGTGTTGAAGCCTGGACAATAACAGAAGCAACACAAAAAAGAATCTAAGCATTCGAACTCTGGTGTTACCGTAAAATGCTCAGAATATCCTACATGAGCCATACGACAAATGCGGAAGTCTTGCGGAGGATGAATAAGGAAAGAGAGCTTATGCTTATAATAAAAGAACGGAAAACACAATATTTTGGTCACATCATAAGAAATCAAAAGTATGAACTGCTCCAACTTATAATCGAAGGCAAAGTCAATAGCAAAAGAGGAAGGAAAGAAGACGCAACTCTTGGCTTTAAAACCTACGACAATGGACGAACATGACCTCCATAGAACTATTCAGGGCTGCTACAAATAAGATGAAATGGGCAAATGTAATGGCCAACGTCCTTAAGGATAAGGCACCGTAAGAAGAAGATTGGTTAAGTGCTATCATTTGAGATATCGTACGTCACTATTGGCCTAATAGGACAAAAGGTACATAACTAAGACCCTTTTGACATGCAACTCCATTACCTCATTGTATCTCATTGTATTTTATTTAATAAATCCTTTCATTTGAGGTACTGCACGTCATGATTGGACTGACAGAACCGAAGATACACAACTAAGGCCCTTTTGACATTGTGCTGTATTTGATTTTTCTATCCCATTATATTCTTTACGTTAAATCTTATCATTAGAGGTACTATACGTCACGATTGGACTAATAGGATAAAAAATACGTGACTACGGCCCTTTTGACATGTTGCTGTATTTGATTTTTCTATTTCATTGTTTTCGATTGGTTAAATCCTATCATTTGAGATACTGTACGTCACGATTGGACTTATAGAAACGAAGATATATAACTAAGGCCTTTTTGACATGCTGCTTTTCTGTCTTATTGTATTTTATTGGTTAAATCCTATCATTTGAGGTGCTGTACATCACGACTGGACCAATTGGAGCAAAAATATATACCCAATATGTAACCCGTTACTTTTAATCAAACAAGATGCTAGAATGATTTTTGGATGAAAAAAAATATATAAATTCTTAAATTTACTATTTCGTTGTGGGTAATATTATATTCAACAGCGATGCCAAATTTCTGATGCTAAAATGATTGATAATGAAAGTGCGATATACATTTTCATGTATATAATGGCAGCGAGTAAACGGTAAAACCCTCAACTAAATATATATAATATTTTCACTGTACCATCATTTTAGACTCAAACATTTCCTGGAATAAACTTATATAACTCAGTGGGGGATAAAAAGAGAAAGCGGACATTTTAAAATACCAACACGGTATCAAATCTCTAATCATTGAGATGGTTAAAATTCTTGTAACAAGTACAGGAAAAAAGTTATTAAGGTCTTGTAAAGCAGCGTCGATATACAGATGCCACTTTGCAAGATGATGCTAAATTGATGGTAAAAGCAAAATGTATCGATGCCAAAATGATAGTAGGATGTATATATATATATATATATATATATATATATATATATATATATATACACACACTTCATCTAATTTATATAACGATGCACGTCATCGGCGTCATAGCCTGTGACGTTACATGATACCAACACAAAATATTTAGGGTGTAGGTGTGTTCTTTTTTAGAATCACTTTACCGAGTACACTGGCATTACAGCCACTAGACATATTTTATTATATACGCGTAGAAATAATATTTAAAAATTTCTATTAATGTTAACTTAAAGAAATACACAATAATATGTTTCATTTAATTTGTATAAATGCATTATAAAGCGTTTTTATCAAGAACATTTGTTCGGAACACACTGTAACTGTAATCGAACAAAGCTAAAATTTTGGCATAAATTGGTAACACTTATTTGACAGTTGCGGTGTTGACACTTTTTGTACTTCATTATTTTGAATTTTAAAGTGAATATCTCTTGTTTTATATTTTTAACTATTTAATAAAATCTGTTCTTTTTAGAACAAAATTAGTGTGTTTTATTTCAAAAATGTCACGTAAGAATTTAAATAGTCGTTGTAAAGAGATGGTAATACTTTTGCAATAATTATGTAATCTATTTGATTTAAAATGGAGTCAGGATTTTTTTATACTTTGGCAACTATGTCAACTTCGATCTCTGACGTAGATAATGACGTAAGTCGTTATCTAAATTAGATGAAGTATATATATATATATATATATATATATATATATATATATATATATATATCATCTATAAATTAGAAGGTTTATGTATGTAGTCGTAGAGTCGCCATGAAGTTTGTTATACAAAATTAGTAAAGCGGAGAACACATTTAAGCGACCACGATCGCGATCTCGGTTTAATTAAAAAGTGAATGCAGATATTTATGCAGTTTATTTTGTATAAAAAGAAGGGATGTTTAAAGAGGTGCAAGCAACCAGGATAATTTCATAAATTGTACCCAGAACTTTGCAGAGATGAGAAGCGTTTCTATACCTATTTTAGAATGAATTTTGAAAGTTTAGATTGGATAAGAAATAAAATCACCAAACAACAAAATCTGTGTGAGACAGGTCGAACAATATATATTTTTTTACAATTTCAATCAATTTTTCGATATTCATTTTTATTTGCACCTACGTGACCAGCGATAAACGTAAACTGCTGCGTTATGAACGCTAAACTTATATAGCCGCGATTGTCATCAGAAGATTGCACAAATTCCTTTCATGGCCAGCAGGTCGCGACAAATATGTGCTGATACACTTGTTTGTTTAAGAAGAGTCGAATCGCGGTCGCCATCGTGAACGCCATCGCGTCGTGATCGCTTAGGTTAGATTAGGTTAGGTGTTTTCTGTTTAATTTTTCGCATTTTTCGTCTAAAAATGGTCTAAAAGATTTCCAGTTGGTATGTTTATTAGGAATAAATTATTGATTATCTCTTTTAATACCAAAATGGACCATTTAATTGCCCAAGCATTTTCATATATTTTATATCTCTACTGATGGAGTTATCAAAATTGGAAAAAAAGATGGGAATGGAAATAAAAATATCTTAAGTAGATATACTATGTATTTAAAAAAATTAAAAATGGATACTTCCAAAAACTGCATGATATACTATTAAAATGATTACCAAAATGAAACTACTTTAAGCAAAAATATCCAGTGTTACTCCCCTCACTCCTAATTTTGTTTCAACCACGTCAAAACCATGACACTCCAAAGTTATAACAGCTTGTCTTAAGCAGACCGCATCAAACTTCGGAGGTATCAAACAGATGGCGTAACCACCACCACCACCTCCTGTCAGCTTTCCACTAAGTCCGTGTTCAGCTAAAATGTCGACTATATCGTTAAGCTTTTTATGACCAACTCCTATTGAATTCAGAAGATTATGATTTATGGTAAAAAGTTCTGCTAAACTTTTGTGTATTTTTTTGATGTCGTCTGTGTTTGTACCTGAAAAATAAAAAAATCAGTATAATTTGGATTTCAATAATTTAAAAATAAAAAAATTATTCCCCGAAGTTACTGAGAAAACCTCTTAATAGAGAGTAAACAATGTAAATTTTATTTTATAACTGTTTCCTTTTTTCATTATTTAATTTTTTTTTCGAATTATCCATATAGGTATAATTATATTGATTTGAAAATACCGCATTGACGAGGTCGGTGATTTTCGACTATAGCGGCACATCGGATTGGTGGGAATTTTTCGATTATATCAGTACATCGGGTTGTTAATCGCCCTCGACTTCTTCTCTCTGGTTTTCTTTTTATTATATTTAAAACAAGAGAAAGTGTCGCACTTTTGGTAAAATTCTGGGTATGTCAATTTTTAGTGATATGTACTAGTGAAATTACATAAAAAACAAACTTTACATAACTTGGTTACACAATACTAATCGATAACATATCGTCCTTGATGAGATTAAAAAAGACCGTTACAATTATAATTCTAATCTCTACATCTTCGTAAAAATTTAATTGAATTTTGACAGTGTGCCAGTTTCTTGTATAGAATTTCCAATCTCCTAAAATTTTGAATAACGCTGGGCCCATACCGGTTTCTTAATATTGTTCTGAAGCTATTTTCTTGTGGCATTGTAAATTAATTACTATTAAACTGGGAATAAGCCACAATTAAAGATAAAAATACGTTTATTGACGTTTCAATTTCCACTTCGGAAATCGTATTTTTATCTTTAATTGTGGCTTATTCCCAGTTTAATAGTAATATAATTCTAATCTAATACAATTCTTCTAGTTGCATAATAAATTAAACAATTTGTATAGTATGCATATACAAAAAATGTAATAATTCGTCAGTAATATACGACAGCGATATGGGTTGATTTATAAGAAGTTGAACTAAAAATCTAAAACTAGTTTTGCAATAATTATTAAATAGAAATATTATTTTAATTATTTTAGCTTTATGGTTACACCATTTCAAAAGCATAATAAACATGAAACACCAAAAAACAAGAAAAAACAATTCCATAACCCGGCTAATAAATTGTACACGAAATTTGTATATTTCACATTATATCATGTTTTCACGTTAATTCGTATTTTACTCTTAATTAAATATTACCTGATAACTGGGATAACTCCGACATTTTATCTATAACTGTAGTAGAAACTTCATCCATTGACTCCAACAGATGATCCAATACCTTGGGATACTTCCTTCGGTACTCAGCTACCTTGGCGACCATCTTCTTGGTTTCTCTCGGAACATTGGAGTTGATCAACAGCAATTTCAGAGAACAAGTTGCTTCAATCAGTTTCGGCAAGGAACCTTTTCTATATTCCACAACAGATCCAAACGTACAAACGGTATTGTCCACACCTGAAGGTGTTCCGTGTATGATTTTTTCTGCTCTGTACGACCATTGGCAAATCCAATCTAAGTCTTGTTTGTTAAACTCGATTAGGTTAAGTTCCCCCGTAATTGGTTTATAACCTTCAATTGAGAAATAGCCCTCTGGTGTTTTTGATTTAATTAGCTGTAACAGGGCTGCTGAAAGGCATACGGTAAATGAAGCTGAACTGCCTAATCCTGCACCTACAAAAATATCATTTTTACAAACTCTAATTTGAGAACTGACACCTCACGTTGGTCACCAATTATGTAATACTAAAAAATACTGTTAAAAAAAGAAAAGGAAGCTAAGATATGTACTCCAGTTTACAGTGTACTTGAAAACGTTCTCTAAGACTTCATAGAAATGCAACTGAAGTAGTGCCCCAGTATCTGCGGGAAATACATCGAAAATTATCGCGATTACGTGAAACCCCGAATAATAACGAACATTAAACACATCTTGTTTACAAACAAACACTATAACTACTGATATTTATAGTATTGGATATAAATGTATAGATTACATAAGTGCACTTTAAAAAATCTTAAAATATTACATTGTAGGGTACATAAAATACAGTACTCCGAATAAGACATATCCGACGCGGTGCAAAACAAACATTTGTTAGAGAGAGAGAGAGAAAGAATTTAAACAAAAATGCAATTTACGAGCCGTGCTCAAGGTAGGACCAAAAAAAAATTGTCGATTATTTAATTAATAGTTAAACATTACATTTCAATATTATCTTTCGGGAAAATCCAATCTCGTTGTTGCTAAATAGGTAATATTCATTGGATTAGTTACGGATACTAAAACGGGATAATCTCTTTTAGGAATTATATTTATGATTTTATTTAGATATTAAATATGAGAATAAACCATAATTGATTGTAATGAGAATTACATTTTACATTTGATTTGACGTTCCTCGACGATTCCCGGAGTACACATTGATTGAATACTTTTATCTTTAGTTACTGTTAGTTACTTCTTTATTTTAATTTGATGATTTTGATTTTAAACCAGTAAATATTTTGTTTGTATAACACGAAATGGGGATAGAAAAAATAGCACGGAGGACCAAGATATGTAGTTTCTTGGGGTGTTGTGATTGGTCAAGGAAGCTATTCTAAGGAATGGGTAGAAGAGAAAACAGAGTTTTTTTTTATTGGCTTTAGAGTAAATACCCACACAGCCAGACACAAATTTTTAAAAACAGATACAAGGATTACACTCTTCTTGCCCAGGGGCCGATCAGGGCATTTTTATAAATGATAAAAGGTAGGCCTCGGACAGATAGGTATACATACATTAAGGAAAGACATCAGGTATTAACAAAGGTGGTTATATTTGTATATTCGTTGTTCTGACGAAAGACAGCAAACAATCGTAAATTTCTTTTCTGTCTAAAGCAAGAAGATGCAGTATATTATATGGGCTTTCAATGTTTAATTTTAAAAGTTTTCTGAAAAGCTCATTAGATTGAGCTCTATATTTTAAACAATCAAAAAAGATGTGGTCCAGGTCACCGATTTTATTACAGGCTTCACAAAGATCACTCTCAAGTATTTTTATTTTAAATAAATGTGCTGGATAACATGCGTGACCAAACTTCATTCTGCTGATAGTAGTTATACTTTTTCGACTGTAATCGTACTCATTGTACCAAGGTTTTCTCCTTAATTTGGTTTCAAGTCTGGTGTAACGTGTTGGATTTGTAAAGCTGTACTCTTGCCATAAATAGGACCATTTCTTCATCATTCTCTGTTTTGCTATGATTATTTGTTCGTCTGTAGTTAATTCGTAATTTATTTGTTCCCCATTACTATGCTTTCTTTGGCAATTTGATCTGCAATTTCATTGTTTGTTATTCCTGCGTGTGCTTTGACCCAGAAGAATTTTATATATTTATTTTGATCTTGTAATTGTTTAAGTATTGCTTGGATGCTAAAAATAATGTCATTGGTTGTGTTTGAGTTTGATTTTAAAATTTTAAGAACGGAAAGTGAATCGGAAAAGATTATAGCATTCTGATCCTCTTCCTGATGAACATATTCTAGTGCTTTTAGAATTGCTATTGCCTCAGCTGTGAAAATAGATGTGTTTTTGTTTAACTTATATTTTTTCTGTATACGTTTAGGTATTACGAAAGCGCAACCTGTACCATCGGTGTTTTTTGATCCATCAGTGTATATAGTGACGTAGTTTGGATGTTCCTCTAAAATTTGATTTATGACTATACTATTAAATGATGCTAACTCCAAAAAAAGGGGTATATTCACATCACAGGAAACAAAGTAGTCGGTCTCTACCTTTGTTTGTGGTTTTAATGTCACGTTTCTTAATCCATCACAAATAGGAGGAGAGTGTTTATGAATCCAAAAAGGCTTAGTGAGGTCGTATTCGTTTAATTTATATATGCTGCTAATGAATGGTGAGTTTTTCTTTAGCGACTTAATAATCATTTTTTCAGCTAAAAATGATCTTCTCAGTTCTAAAGGAGGTTCGATTGCTTTAGCTCTTAACGGTTCAACTGGTGTAGATTTCATTGCTCCCAGACATATTCTGAGTGATTTGTTTCGTATAATATCCAGCTTACGTAGATTTGTTTTATTGGCTGTTCCATAAAGTGTACAACCATAATCAATTATTGATCTTATGTAAGCTTTATAGAAGAGTAGAGCTGTTTGAGGTTCTGCACCCCACCAAGTTCGCATAATGGATTTTAAGAAGTTTAGCCCTTTATTGCATTTTGTCTCTATTTGTTCAATATGAAGTTTCCAGGTTAATTTTCTGTCTAATGTGATTCCTAAGTATTTGATATTGGTATCCACCGGAAATTCTATACCATCTATTGTAATTATCTGCATCGGTTTCATGCCTGGTGAAGATTATAACTTTGGATTTTTCTGAGGAGATTTGAAGCCCTAAATCACTTATGGATCTTAAAACGAGTTTCGTGCTTGAATTCAAACGATTAATGCATTCGTCGAGATGTTTGCTACGTGTATAAACAAAGAAATTATCGACATATTGTATAATAGTTGCTTTAGATACGGAGGTGTGTAAATTAGTAGTATATATATTAAAAAGTAATGGTGTAAGGACTGATCCTTGTGGCACACCTAAATTTGCACTTTGGTATTTTACTGGGCACCTATAATGTCCTCTGAGCCCTATTTGCCTGTTTACATATAATTTGCATATCTTGTTGGCAACTTCTTGAGGGATTTGTAATTTGACATTCATTTTTTTTCCCGTAAGATGAACCAGTTGACATTGTCGTAGGCACCTTTAACATCTAGAAACATCATTCCATTATACTCGTTTTCAGTTAAGTCTATTTGTATGTCTGTAACTAAGTGTGTCACCGCATCTATGGTGCCAAAACCTTTGTTAAAACCATATTGTGTAGTTGACAGAGCGCCGGTTGTATTTAACCACCATTCCAATCGGTTTTTAATTATTCTTTCGAAAACCTTGAGTATACAGGGCATAAGTACAATAGGTCTATATGAGTCACATAGGTGGGGTTCTTTGTTTGGTTTGTGTATTGGTATTACAATAGCCTTTTTCCATTCTTCTATACTTTCCCCATTGATCCAGATATCATTTAGAATTTTGATTAGAAACATCTTGGCATTGTTTGGTAATTGGAATATCATAGGATATCTAATATCATCATATCCAGGTGATGTATTCTTTCTGTATTTTATAATATACTTTAATTCTGGTAAGCTAATTGGTTGACTAAAAATTTTATGGTTGGTGTTATTTTGTCTTTGTTTTGAGAAAATGTGTGAGGTATCATCCATAGCATTAGCTGGTGTAATTTTATCTAAAAATTGTTCTTGCCATTCATAATTATCCGATGTATTACCTTTCCTATATATCCTATTCATTTTTCTGGCCTGAGTACATATGTTTGTCAATGGTGTATTTCTATTTAAGTTTTTGCACCAGAGCTGCCAATGTAGTTTAGCTTTTTTTAAAAACTTTTTTGTTTTTGAAATTTTGTTTTTACATTTGACATAATTTTCCATAGTGCTTTGTTGCTTATACAAGTTGAGCATTTGCTTTCTTTTTTTAATAGCCGCAGATTTGATACCACCATGGTGGAAGAAGAGTTTTTTTGTTCGGTTTAAAGGGTTGATAAATGGGTATAGAGGCATTGGCTGCCTTATTTATCCCTTCAATTAATAAGTTATAATTATGTTCCGCGTTATTGCTATTTTTATTGTGTTGTGAGAAATTCGCAACTTCTTGATGTAGAGTCCAATCTGCTTTATTCAAATTCCATTTTGTTTTTGGGTGTATTATGATGTCTTTACTTTCCATGACTTTGTTAATTTCCATAATAATTGGATTTCTATAATAATGGTCTGAATCCAGTACATCAGGTAAAGTTTCCCATGCACAATTCATTGCAATATCTGGAGTTGCAAAAGTTAAATACACAACTGAATTATTCCCATTATTTGTGACACTTGTAGGTGATCCGGCGTTTAAAAGTACTAACTCCGTATTGTCTGAATCGGTTATAATTTGCGTGTCTTTGGTGTTACTTTTGTATGATCCACATGTTGAATGATGCGCATTAAAATCACATCCAAATATACTATTTGACTTGGTACAGTTAAGAATTGCGTCCCAATCGGCAGTTGTTGTTCGTATATCAGGTGAGTAGTATACAGAGAAACATGTTAGCGTTATTTCACTGTTATTCAATATTTGTATAGCACACATTAAAATATTTTCATTAAAATTTTTCTTAATTGGAATTTCTTTAAAACAAAATACATTTCTGACGAGGATTTCCACATCTGCATAATATCATCATAGTAGAAAGGTAGCCATTTCACCCCACTTTTTGTCCCCAGATTTAGGGAAAAACTGTTCCGGTCTTATGGAGAATAGGGCAAATTTCCCCAGCCCCGTATCTCAAATTTCCCCAGATTCCGCACTCTCGACGCAGCCCCACGCTTCTTACGTGAGTGCCTCTCGATACAATAGCCCACTTTGACCTTTGACCACTGACGTGACAAGCCCAGTCCGCGCTCCGGTCATGCCCCGCGATTACGTAACCGACAAGTCCTAACTTGCTTTTCACGCTAGACACCTTTTTCTAAGTTCAGTAATGAGCCATTTTTAATATGAATTAATTTACATATTATTTTTGTATTTCAAATATTATCTACTA